TTATTCGCGGTCAGAACGAATTTTTGCTTTCACGAAATTGAATTTTAAAAGCGGAAACAGAAAACCTAAATTGCGAGCCTAATTTGATAGTACAAATTCATAATACTTTTTGAACGCTCAAATTTTGTCGAGGTCATTTTATTAGCTGTACGTTACAGTACGTAGAAGCAACATCTTTACACTAAAGAAAAGGATGCTACGCTTTTCAAAAAAAAAACATATGTTTTGCAATATTTATTTTACCTTAATTTCACTTCACTCTTGAGTGGACGATTGCATGTTATGAATCGTTCATTAAATTGATTTGTAAGCTGGAGATTAGATTTATTTTCGATATTCCAAATCGTGCGCGGATGGCATTAAAGTTTAGCGCTCTCTAATATGTGTGTGCTCTCTACTATGATGTCTTCTCTAATATGATGTGTTTAATGCACGGATGGCATTTAAACATTAGTGCTCTCTACTATGATGTAAAGTTCAGAAGTTGCTCTCAAACGGCTCCTCCTTTCAATGGGCCACCCATTCTTCCCCATAGAGGAAGTGAAGGGACAAAGTTGAGGGACACGGCTGATGAGGTCATGCTTGGTCACCCTGTGCTTCTCGCTAACGGTCAAGTTCACGTAAAGAAATAATTAGGTCAACGCTGGACCCATGCAGGCGTCCACGGAAATGGCTCAGTCAATATACAAGCTGGGCCTATACTCTCAAAAAAGTTAAGAGATCGTAAGTTCATCAGCCAATCATTGACGGCCTTTCAAGCAAAATCCATCAATCATAGACAAGAAAACAGAGCGTAAGGACTTACGTTCACTTAGCGAGTTTTGAAAGTATGGCCCCTGTCTCCATCTCAAGTCTCCATCGAAAATAGGCGCCGTATTTGCTTGTCATTTCCGCGCGGAAGCTGAACGTGCGAGACCCTATAGCTGCTTTGGAATTTCTGACGATTAAGCGGAGCTCGGGAATGCGAGTAGTTATATTTCCAGATTCTGATAGGAAATTTTTCGTTTCTTGATAATTTACTATTGAGGTTAGTTATTCAAGACACTGGCCATTTGTGATACTGCAGGGCTACACACTTTATTCTTAAGTGGCTATTGTGGCAGGCTCTCATTCGCTCCGTTTGCCTTAGCATCAAGCTTATCTGGTCATTGGATAAATTCCCACATTCATCAGTACACTTTGTGAACTAATAAGCAACTTTCTGATGATTATTGTGTAGCTAATAAATAGAAGCGAAATTACTCATATTTGGCGTCAGAATCTTCTGCGATTACTACATCGAAGCTGTTTAGATTTCAGAGCGGCGAGCGGTCATATAGACGACCTCAGAAGGGCTTAACCCCTGGCAACCCTGGGCGAGGAATTGCCTTGATATCGATGCTGCGTGCGTCAGGAGTTCATGATGAAAGGAAAACATTATTTATAGCATTGAATAATGTTTTTTAATGTATTATTAAAATTATCAACTCAATAATTAAAACTGAAATTTCATTAATGGGCTCGAATTCAATTTCTCCGATCAACTTAGCAAAGGCGATTGCAGTGAGAAGAAAAAAAATTGCGGTTTTGAATGGTTTGGGGGATTTGTGTGTTAATAGTAATACGACAAAATCAATATTCACAAGAAACATGAGAATGTAAGCGTCCGTATGGTCTGGTGGTTAGACCGACACGAGGCGTCAAGACGGACGCGTGCTCTAGACTAAGTTATACGGATGACGTCATTCGTCGTAACTCGTCTCGAGAACCCACTGGAAAGAACCAGATATCCTGCAGGTCTTTAACATTGATGCACACGCGCGGTCTCAGCATCGCATTCGCATTATGAATAGTGATGATCGATCCACTTGTCCTGATTCGTGTATGGTGCCTATACGAGCTAACACGAAAAGGTTGAACTAATTAATCGGAAAAAAATCAAGTGTCCTAGATTCCTGCTGCTGTCTCTGCTACAGAGACAAGTGTCCTAGATTCCTGCTGCTGTCTCTGTTACAGAGGCAAGTGTCCTAGATTCCTGCTGCTGTCTCTGCTACAGAGGCAAGTGTCCTAGGTTCCTGCTGGTGTCTCTGCTACAGAGGCAAGTGTCCTAGTTTCCTGCTGCTGTCTCTGCTACAGAGGCAAGTGTCCTAGGTTCCTGCTGCTGTCTCTGCTACAGAGACAAGTGGCAAAATACCTTTAGTAGCCATGGCAAAATACTTGAGAGGTTGTCGCAGATCTATCATCTAAGCATGCAAATGTTGACGTTACTTAAACTTTTTGATTTTATTCATGCCACAACAGAGCCAAGTGGCAAAATACCTTAATGAGCCACGGCAACATACTTAAGAGGCTATAGCAGATCTAAGCATGCTAATGTAGACGTTGCCTAAACTTCTTTAATTTATACGTGCCAGGCTCCGCTACCACAACCATTAACCCTATTAACCGAAGTCATGAATTCAAGCTACTCTCATTTTCTGAAGTCAATTCGATAAACACATGAAGGATATGCCATCAAGAACCGATGAATCCATGGCTGTTTCCATGGCAGTGTTAGCCGTCATCTTAGCTTCGGTTAGAGACAGTTACGTAACGCTGTTATTTGAGCTCTGACGTCACAGCAGGCCTAAACGCTACCTAATCTTGTCATGCCGGGAGTTGTGGTAATATTTTTAACAGCGTACTGGCACTGGAAATGTGAACCTTTAATGTGTGAACCTTTGTGAACCTTATTTTCCTGGCAAATATTATTATTCTAACCGATTGCATTGCTGTTTGTTTTACATTGTATTTCCATTATTCCTGGTGATTGTGACTTGTATGAACTCCAAGCAGCGTAATTTCCAATCCAAATGTAATTTCCAAACAGCGACTGAAATGAATTAGCAATCCAATAACTAATTATCACTGGCAGCATCAACTTAATAGACGGCAACATGGCACGTGGAAGAGTTTAATCAATGCACATGATGGCCGACACAATCTGCACGCAATCTCCCCTAAGCAATCACCACGCGTGATCACTCGATAACAGCTCAAACAACTCGTCAAAAGTTGCTCATTTCTTCCACTGCTCAGTTTGACCGAGAACAAGATTCATCAAAATAAAGTTTGTCATCGTTTCTTGAAGTCCAACGCTAACGCCTTCAACGTATCAAGCCAAGCCATCGCTATCAACATTGCGATCTTGTGTCCGGAGCCCGAGAATGCTTACTATATTTAGGTAGCATGGATATCAAAACATATGATGTACTTAATTAACGTGACAATAAGAGACAGCCAGGTTTTACTGTGCCGTATTGTTTGTTCGGTAATCAATGTTAAGCATGCATGGCATGTATAAGGATTAACACGCTGCCTTTCGCTGTCAATTGAATACGATCGACAAGACATTATCCCTTCTCATTCTTTCTCGTGTCTATTTATTTTTCGCTTGCTATTAATCTTATGTGTGACGTGCCTTCGAAGTTCGTTTGTACCAGACGCCACGATAAATATTTCGTGGAATAATGATAATAATAATCGACCTAATTAATGAAGAATTAAATATTAACTCGTGCCTTATGTAACCGGACAATTACTAGTAAAATTTTACTATAAAATTCAGGAGTCATTGAAATTTCTTATATATCGGAATGATTTAAGTTTGATAATTATCACAGGAAACTTCCAAAAAGACAAACACGAATCCCATTACCGCAAATCGCACATATTATCCTTGTGTACGAACCATGATGAAGGTTAGCGAGTTCTTGGTGAACCTGCACGTCTGATGGCAACGTTGCAGACGTGTTGCAGACATGTTGCAGACGTGTTGCAGACGTGTTGCAGACGTGTTGCAGACGTGTTGCAGACGTGTTGCAGACGTGTTGCAGACGTGTTGCAACGTTCGTGGTGCAAGCATATGCACGGCGCTGCCACCAGCGACCTCTCACCTCGCCTGCCACGGCCAGTCTTATAGGTTGTGATCATGGCAAGGTCATACCACGCCAGCCATGCAACGCTAAAAAAATGTCAATTAATTAGTAACTGACATCGTAATAAAGTGGAATTTATGGTGAACAACTCACGATAACATGAAGATATGAATTATATTATAATATCTTAGGAACGCATGATTTTGCAAGTGATGTCCACGGAACATATTTTACATCAGCATTTTGCATGCCGAGACATGGCGTTCATTTCATAATGATGCTGATTAAAATATTTGAGGAAAAGTTGATTAAATTTTTCATCTTAATCAGAGTTCGAAAAAAAGTCCTTCAGGTTCTGCGATACGTTCTCAAAGTAACTTGCGGAAAAGATTGAACTGAAAGCCAGCGGTGGATAATGGAGTGAATAAATATTAGGAATAACTTCTGTAATAATAATTGGAATAACTACTGTAATTTGAATTGCTCGTGCATTGTTCACATATTCAAGACATAACGCGTAAGTATTTACAGTGCAGCTGTGCTCACAATAGAGTCCAAGCTATAGACTGCCTGACAACCTGTCAACTGATACAAGATGACGTCACGGGACAGAACAAACGAACGAACACACTAACACATCCGCACTCACTCCATCCCACGCAAGGCAGCTCGGCCTGGAATTTCCCAAGTTGAGTAAGAACTGCTCGACGAATCGTGCCGCTGCACGAGACGACGATTAAAAGCGCGTGTCCGAATGCAGAGGTCATTTATTGAGAGATCAAGTTATCCGTCTATACGTTCTGGGTGCAGTGACGCAAGTCAATGTGAGACTTTAGATAGATAAAATAACGTGGGTTGGTGGACTCCCAATTTGTCATTCATGTCAAGAGCCTCTTTTTTTTATCTGAGAATCAGCTACAGCGTTGCTACGTACCTTGTACCTAAAGAATCTACAACGACGAAGATATCGTGCATGTGGCGGTGTAGGAGGAGCACAGGTTGTACGTCAGTACTGTGGAGGCGGGGCATTGGTTTATCGTACGTCACTGGAGTAGAGTAAAATGTCGTACCCTAGGCAGGTGAGTGTAAACAACTCAGTGACTGGGCTTGCATTGTCATTCGCGCAGTAGCCAGCGCGCAGTGAGCAAGTGTGAGTTGAACTCTCGAAAAGTGCGCTTGCAAGGCACTCTCTCAGTGACGTGAAGATTTTCAATTTTCCTCAAAAAATATCTTACTTATTTAAAAAAGTTAAGTTTGATATCTAAAACTGGTAATAGCTCAAAAGTTTTTTATATAGAAGTGAAAAAAAATTTCATTTACTAAAGTTTAACGATACGCCAAGTGTTGCTTAGTGATACTGAACTTTTCAAAAGCTAGGTTAGGTGTGCGCAGCAATCGCAACTTTTGACACAAGTGAAGAAAATTTCCTCGATTGCGTTCGTACTTTGATCGCTTGCTTGCACTGCCAGTGACTCGAGCGTTGCTCTGCTTGATGGTGTCAAGAAGTCCTGTGGGCACGATGGCCCAGAGCTGTGCACAGGCCCAAGCTTGGGTGCGTGACAACTACGAACGCAACACCGATGGCGTCGTCGCCAAGTCCGTCATCTACAAGAACTACGAAGACTACTGCAGAGAACACAACAGACCTATAATGGAGACCAGTATCTTCGGCCGCGTCGTGAAACAAGTTTTCCCAGGAGTCAACATCCGGCGACTTGGAGGTCGCGAGAATCTTAAATATTACTACTGTGGCATCCACGCTCAGGAATCAAGTCCTTATGTCAGTGACAACAACAACACGACGCGGCCCAAGCGCAAGCAACGAAAACGTGACGTCATCACCGACAAGGCAGAAGCCCACAATATGTTCTTGTGGTTGTGTGCTAACTACGCCGAAGAGAGCGAATCAACAATTCCAATTAGCGATATATACAGTCATTATATTCAGTGCAGTGCAACATGGACTAATGAACCTCTTAGTAATCAGCAATTTACTACATTAATTACATCAGTTTTCTTTAGGATAGCCAAACGAAAAATAGGACCCAAATCTCCTCAGCAGAACGTCTTTGTGGGCATCGCCCAGCGCCCTGTGCCCCTCGACTCGGCCTCGGCCTCCCAGGTGTACGCATCCCTACGCGAGGCTGTGGCCTCAGCCGAGAAGTTTGCCTCTGTCAGGGAAGGCAGTCACACACCTGACGATGACGACGAATATTCCTGCAGAACACCAGAGTCTGAGGGATCCGACATGTCAGCCGGAAATTCAGAGAATTCTTGCAGCGAAATCAAGCAAGAATGTCTTCCTGATTCTTTCCACCTGTTCGACCAACATCATCACCACGAGTCTGTTCTTGATGACTCAATGTTCAAGAACGAACCTGTGGACTACAGCATCGGTGCTTTACGGCTCAAAGACGAGCCTGTAGAAAGCATGGCGCACGTCAAAGAAGAGAAACTTGGTGTTTCCCACATGACATGTTTCAGTTTAGGGACTCCCAACAGCCGGACCTCTCATTTGCTCGATTCCCCATCCCCTTCTCCAAGTCCGCCCCAAAAGTCGTCTAAAAACCGCATTTACAAACCACGTTTCCACATAGATTACCATGACAGTAACTGGAGCAGCATACCTGAAATCAAATCTGAAAATAATCATGGACCTTCGGAAATTGAAGACAACGGTGAAAGTGTTCTAAGGACGTGGCTCCTCGAGTGCTTAGAAGTGTGTGAAGATGTTGGTGTCAATAGTGAACAATTGTACGCTTATTATTTGAAATACTGTAACATGATTAATACCAAAGTACTTCATTATGGCCCGTTCGGGTATGTTTTAAGTCAAACGTTCCCTACTATTGACCTTGTTTCGTTCAGCTCGGGTGTGACAGTGTTTGCAGGTGTGCGTGTGGTGCACAACAGTGACATTGACCGGCGTGTGGATGAAGTGCCATTGCGTACCGATGCGTTAGAAATCTCTCAGTCTTGGGACTCGCAACATCAACCTTCGCTCGAGAGGAATTCGCCGCCATGCCTCAGCTCTTCGCCCATAAATCTTGAAGACGAGGAAGATGACGAAGACATTTTGGACGACGGCTTCTCAGGAAACAGGTACAGAGAAACTCTCGATGACGATGTTAATTCTATTCCTGAAGTTATGAGAGACGGCAAGTATTACTTGAAAAACTGGCTTATGGATAACTTTGAACCTGTCCCCGAGGCTTGTGTACTCAAAGCTGACGCTTACCGCCATTATGAACAGTACGCTAGATCTGTGATCCAGACTCCTTTTGAGATGAATGTTTTCGGTAAAATTGTTAGGCAGGTTTTTCCTAAAGTTAGTATTCGTAGGTTAGGAGGCCGTCAGAAGCCGCAATATCACTACTGTGGCATCACAGCCAAGCCTACTAGTCATTTGTATCCCTTATTGAGCGCCAAGGATCCTGCTCAGCGGTCTAGGAAAAAAGAAATTGCCACTGACAATCGCACAGCTGAAGTGGTAATTGACTGGCTGAAGCGAAATTACGAGCCCACCAAGGACCGCCTCATTCCTAAAAGTCATGTCTTCACAAACTATAACGCTTACTGCTCCTCTATAGGGGAGAACCCTGTCAGCATAAACTACTTCGGGAAACTGGTCAAACATTGCTTCCCCCACGTCGAAGTTCGTAAATTTGGCGGCAGAACAGATCCCAACTGGTATTATCATGGATTGTGTCCTCGGGATCCAACCTTGTTGGAACACTCAATGTCCATTGAAGAATTCCATGATTCTGAAAGAGATCCTTGCAGTACTTCTTCTACGAGTCAACCATACTCGTCATTGAGCTCATCCTACCCTATAGCCGTGCCGGGCAGCGGGGCCACTCTGCCTCTCGACTCACCCTACAGTGGATCACCCCAATTGACTCCATCCAGGGCGTCTCAGTATTTGTCCCATCACCTTCTGCAGCATAAACATTTGTCTTCCCCGCTCAGCAGCTCCCCTTCCATGGAGATAACTCCGGATCCATATCCCCGGTCTCCGGGGCTCAGCCGAGCCTTTGAAGAAAGATTGATGACCCAAACGATAATTGACCGAAACCGAGTCATGGTTCGATCTCCGTACGAACCCGACATGGCCCCGGACATTTTTCCTCGGTCTCCTGAAGAAACCCCAGCCCAAACTTGTCGATCCCCAACGGCTCCCGTAACAGATGCTGCAGCTTGTGCGGTTTTCAACATGTCCACGCACCACTACCTTCCCTCAGCTTTGCCCTCATCGTCTCCCAACAGCAAACGTACTGCGCATGTCACCCACAGCCCACCGAGGTTTACGCCCCGGGGGCCCATGTCCCAGGCGCAAAGTATACTCACTGATCCCAACGCCTCGCATAAGAGAATCAAACACCAAATGACACCTCAGGATTACGGCGCAATCTACTCCGGGCGCAGCTGAAACTAACTCCACTTCCATATTTTATGTGAGTTTCGCACCACTATTGACGTGTTTACGTGATGCTTCCATCATTCACCGTTTATTCACTCGTCATGTCATGCAATAATCGATCCTAATCATGATATGAAAACGCCAAAGTGAAATTCAATCGCAAGCCAACTCTGGCCAAGATGAAAGTTATATTACAGTTTTTGTTCCCCATAAAATCGCAAAAAACGCAATCTAGTTTTACGAATTACTGTTTTCGTTATATATAAGTTATATTACAGTTTTTGTTCCCTATAAATTCGTTAAAAAACGCCTTGCATCGTTCATTGCTAATTCCTGCAATCATACGTTCCTTCTTTTCTATTTATAATATATACATCAATCTGCAATCTGCTTACATATGTTCATTACATTTCATTCCTATTCGCGTGGATATTAACGATTTGCCAATCATAAACAAAATGTAAATAAAAAAAAAGTCAGCTGCCAGAAGAAGTCCACGGTCGCAGAAACCCAAATTTAAGTATCTTTTCACTGAAGGCAGCAGGCTTATTGAATTGCATGACATATCAATTATTGAATGTTTGTCTAATCGGTTTATCTTTCCATGTTTTATCGATACTTTATTTCACTTTAATATTTACGTTCCATTCTGTATGTGTTGTAACATTTTCACACAAGTTGTAAACCGCACGCAAAGTAATGAAAATAGTGCATTTATTAGATTTGCTTTCTCCGAGGGAATAAGAACAATTCTCTCATGTAAGAACAATTCTCATGTAACATTCAATCATGTACTTTCCAGTTCATTGCGTTCCATGTGGTTAATTTGGTCTGAAATTAGCATGCAGGTGCTGGAGGTGCTCAAGCCGCAATCAGACTTGCATTGAGTGTTCCACTTGTTCGCTCGATGACCAAAAGCTTCTGTTTCTGTGTTGCTATCTTTACTGAACGTCGACCTTGCGTGCGCTCACTGCAGAGTATTGACGGAACTCAGCCGCTGCTGTTTCCTCTGCTCTCTATCTACCGTAACCGGCAAGCCAGCCCCCTCTACCTTCTACCTCTGATGCTCTCTTTGCAACCCTCCTTCTACTGTGTTCCCCTGATCTACCTTACCCTCTACCCTCTGTGACCCAAATCGCACCTCATCTACCTCCAGTTCGCCCCCTTCTCGGCCGGAGTAGCTTCTCTCTCACTACAACATGATTGCGAATATCATTCGTTCATTGATGCTCGTTTAAATTTGGTTATCCCTTGCAATATCAGAATATTGCAAGGGTCATGGTTGTATCGTCGAAATTTTGGAACGGATTATATATAAAGCAGAACTTGTTCCTATGCTGCAACATGTTCAGAAACATGCTCTAGATAACGTTTCATGTTATTACTACTACACACGCTAAAAAAAGACGTGGATAACGAGATGAAGCATGTGCATAAGAAGCGGCGTCGAAATAGCTGATACTGTGGCAGCATTGCACTAGTTGGTGCAGTGGCAGTGCTACACTGGCTGGTGCAGTGGCAGTGCTACACCGACTGGTGCAGTGGCAGTGCTACACTGGCTGATACAGTGGCAGTGCTACACTGGCTGGTGCAGTGGCAGTGCTACACTGGCTGGTCGTGTTCACGCAGTGACGACAGTATCTACTTTAGCTCGATTTTCTCGTCTGGCGCGCCGCTCTATTTGCCATTGCATGCTCAGGGACTCTCGTCTCCCCCAAATGCCCCTCTTCCCTTTCACTCTCCCCGGTCTGCATCGATCTCAGTCTGAAGGCCTCCCCTTCCCCAGTAACTCCTCCCGTACGTCCCCTTTCCCGCGCTATCGTGGAAACCTTTCACGTGAAAACAAGCCTCCTTTCCTTCGTCTGTCTGACAGACGCCTTTAAGCACTGCAGCAGAATTTAATAGTAGAGTTTTTCACTCCTCGAAGTTGCCATATAACATTGAGACAGACCTTGTGATACATCTTAGGAATGAATGGCATGCCATTGTTATTGTAGGAGTAAAGGACTAGGCCAGGAACAAGTCTCCGCGTCATATCTTCTATTTCTGGAGCTCAACGTAAACACCAACCCACCGCCGTACCCACCCACTTTTCCTCTCTTGGCCGCTCTCTCTCCCTCTCACTATTCGCTTCTCTTTTCACCTCGATTTTTCTACATCCTTCTCTTCCTTCAATCCCCTCTCGTTCACTAATTCCCGTTTTTTTTCTCTAATCACTCTCTTTCAATGTTGCTACCGCTCTTTTACTGCTACTCTTTTGTTCGCGCTCTTTAACTGCCGTTTTCTTCTCTCTCTGCAGTACCTGATCTGATCTTCATCTATTTTTAGCCGCCTATTTTTTGCCCTCAAATTTTTACCTTCAGTTCCCCACAGCTTTGCTCACTGCATATCTCGATCGTTTGTTTCGCTTGTCAGTACCTGGTCTGTTATTGCTGTACTTGATGCATTCGTCGCTTGCTTCGTTTTATTATGTGGTTAATACGATTTTAGCCGTTAACTTTAATACGCAAAATCAATTTATACATTTATTCACAATATGCATTGCATCTTGTGAGATATTTTACTTCATATATATTGATTCGTTTATTCAGAAGTTATTATTAGAATATTTGGTTTTTTGTCTAACGTCACAAACTTGAGCGTTCCTTCATCTCTCTAAATGTATTGTAGTTCTAATTATGATTCTATATTCAATCTGTAATTAGCTAAGTTTATTCCTATGGCTTAACTCTTGTTACTCCTTGCAGAATAATACCCGGTAGTAATTTTTTATTATATTTTCCTGATTTTAGAATTATATGACATTTCTCTTTCAACAAAAACCCAATAACATGGAAATTTTATAACCATGACGTTTATATGTGTTTTATTTTGTTGCAGACATGGCCCCTCTGTGATAGCCTCAAGCAGCATCTTCCGAGCAAGGGACATTCCCGCGCTGCGGCCGCCGTTCGCTCGGCCGTGCAAGAAGAAGTCCGTCTGATCAGCGTCTGATCAGCGTCCGATCAGCGTCTGACCAGCGTCTGACCAGCGTCTGATCAGCGGCCTACAGTAGGAACCTCTACGCCTCGTCACTGCAGGCAAACCCCGACACAAGAAATGCAGCAACTTATGTCTATTTATTGTATAAATTAAGTTGAATGTTGTTAGATAAAGACTAGCTTATGTTCTTCTTTCGCAGTACTGAAATTAGGCTTTTGTATACTTCAAATGTGAACAAAATTTTTCGAATCAGTGGTATTTGGAAATACTTATACCCATGTCAACGCAACTGCGTCGCATTGTACGCCTTCTAGTTTGCTCTAGACTATTATACACATTAATTTATTACTTATTTGTATTTTGTCCTATTTTTGAAGGAAAAGCTTGATCTCATTGTTCGCTGTTAATCTTCCCGAAACTATTTATTGCGTGGCCATCTTGTCCAGTTAGCTTTCTAATGCTCTTATAATTTCTTGACCTAATATACGCCACTTGAGATTCTTGATGAACTTGAGAAATATCGGTATTATTTAAATATCTTTAGGGCAAATGGTTGAATGCAGCGGAGTGTATTTTCGAGTCCAATTGTCCTCTTTCATCCGCGTTTTGTTCGAGCTTTGTTTCGAAGACTTAAAGCTAGTTTCCATACGTCTTTGTGTACGTCTTTGCTCTTAAGATTAAGTATGATTTAAATCTCGTCATTGTTGCCAGAGATTTATTTTGAAATGTCGTGAGTACAGAATTTGTGTTAGGATCTTTCTATAAATGATAAATTCAATTCTCTGTTGACAGAACAATTGCCGTTTCTGTCCATCCTCACTTGTTCCTATTTGTTCCACTTGTTAGCACAATTATTTCACCGCTCTTCTCGGCGCAGTCGAGCACGTTTTCATGACAGTCAATAAGCCTTTATTATTTTCCTTCTTCTTGACGAAGCCTGGTTGCTTTTGTCGGCTGGAAAAGTCGTTGGTTGAATTTTATCAGCCCCCATTGACCAAAATATTTTAGTTCTTAGTGAAATTTTTCGTTCTTAATGGAAATCTTGTTGAATGTGCGAGTGGTGATTTGCTTTGTTAATTAATGTGAGTTGTGCTATAAATGTCATCAAGTTCCTTCAGTTGTGACGGTCATCCTAAGTACGCACGTCACTAGCTCTCACTTAGCCTGTTTTTTATCATTAGCTAACTTCAATGTTATCTATAATATTAAAGTAAGTAAATCATTATTATTATTATTATTTGTATTATTTCACTACCATCTTCGTTTTTGTTACTATAATTTAAAAGTATTAGATGAGATTGTTTTAGGCGAGGGTTATAGTTTGGGCTCCTAAATAAATGACGATCGATACTGGAACTTTTGAAAACAGTCGGGCGAGGTCGGGACTTTGACTTTAATTATTTTGAACGAAATATAACAAACTCGGTGCTGCGCAGCACTAAATACCACAGCTTGTTTAGCTCAATTCTTATCTACGATCAGCTATTAATTTATGAGATTTGTGTGTTCGCGTGAGCTGAAGGCGAGAAAGCCTCACATTCAATATTTTGTATTCCGATAATCAATAATGAATGTAAGCCCAAGTGACACGTAAAAAGGACAACTCAAAGTTCTCATTCCAGCTTGAGAAGGTAGCCAAATATATATTTTTTAATTTTCTCAATAAATTTCTTCACTTTCACGTTACATTACTATGTTACTGCATAAGAATTTGAATCACTGTGTTGTCTCATGGATCATTTACTTCCTTGATTGTTTATTTTCGTTCAAAAACTGCCATAGCTGGGCGTTTCTGTTGCAGGTTTAGTTAGGCGGTCGCTCCGCGGTTCTCGGTCCGCCATTGTATATGCATTATCCTGCATAAAATTCATCAAAAACTTGAATATTTCTTGTAGTTCAGGCGTGCTTGTGAACGCTGCGTATTCAAGAGTAACTTTGCTATCAAAATTACGTATACGGCTCGTTAATATTTTTCTACCTTGAATGTGCATATTCGAAGTTTAATTTTGAGAAAATCAGCACAATGGTCTAACAAGAAAAAGCGACCTCATTTTTTCGCATAGATCCACATAATTTTACATGAGCAAAACCTCGTATTACTCTTTTAACTGAGCTTCATTTCGTTGATCTTCCTTACCATGCTACAAAGTATCAGTTTATATGAGTAATTATACCAGTATTCACTCAGCTGTGTGAATTATTCATACTCAGGCAGCATTTGTTGTGTAAGCGTCGTCACTTGTGTGGAACGAAATATACAATGGAAAGATACAGCCGCAATGGACGCTGCTGGATGCAGTGTCTCGCTCATCTTCTCTTAACTCGAACGGCGAATATTTTTCATATATTTTACAATTTTTCTTTAATCAATCTTTACTGTCTCAATGAGGAATGTGTGAACATAAATAACAATTCAAAGTTTTTGTAACGTGATTTTGTGAAGTACGCAAAATGTCATTCGTAATTAAATGTCCTTTGTAAGAATTTGGAAAGTGGACTATAGATGAATTTTAGAAAGTATTTGGTTAAATTTTGTTTGGAATTCTTATATCCATTTGGGTACATTTAACTGTACACGTATGCTCAATGTTTGTATGTTTACTGCAAGTGTTTTTAACGCATTAAAATGAACTGTAACGACTTACTTATTGACGAATCTATGGAAATTTCTTCCAATTTTCTAGATGATCTTGATACTTATATTAGTGTAATATTTACGTCGTGAATCATGACGTAGCTGGTGCAGGTATTTATTATTCAACATTTGGACGAGTATGTAATTCGGGGGACAGGAGTTTTGTATCGCGCAACTCAGAAGCTGTGTAGTCTGTATATTGTGAGCAGGACTCGCTGTATGAAAGTGTGGCGTCAATAAAGTAGCGCTCGTATGAGTGCAAATTTGAATTAACTGAAATATCATTTCCCTAATTCTGTTACTTGCATAAAATCCTGAATCATGCATGGTTTTAACCCTGAAGAATGAATAATAAATTACATAAAACTCTATATCAAATCGTTCATTTAATATTTGATGAATGAATTGAAAAACGCTGAAATTTTACAATAAACGCATAAGACAACTTTAAAAGAACTTCAAGAGAAAAACAAACAAAGGAGATTAGTTTCAGGTGAAATACCGGGAAACACGGTGATGTTGTAATACTTGCAGACACGGCCACGGTAAAATTAGTTAAACCTTTTGTCCTCTGAACGATTTATTGTTATGAAAGGATTAACGAGAAATGTAGACCAGAGCAACGATTAATGAATGGATAGAAACAACCACATAAACTTAGGAGGAACTTGCTACGAGCATCACACCACGTCCTGTTGCTACGAGCATCACACCACGTCCTGTTGCTACGAGCATCACACCACGTCCAGTTGCTACGAGCATCACACCACGTCCAGTTGCTACGAGCATCACACCACGTCC